TCTTATCTTTTGTAGTTGGTTACTCAGCGACAGAACAGTTGTGATATTTAGCTTCCCAAATGCGCAGTCACATACTGTGAAAATATTTCTGTTTACAATAGAATTGAAATGTTGTTTGACTTCAAGGTATTTTTAGATCAGATTGCGTACACTGCAGATAGTGGCACTCAGATACATATGTATACAAATAGCATGCTTCACGTACATCCAGACATTTAAAACAAACTGACAGTAAAAAACATCTGGTTGACAGCCTCTGATCTAATCAGCATCTCGGCAGCAAGGCCCCCAGAATCCAGTAGTATTGGTAAAAGGTAAAGGCACTATAATCTTACCAGACCATAGGACTGCTCTCACAATTTAAAATTATTAAAAAGATCCTTTGTTGTCCATTTATTTCACTTTAATGCTTTTGTTAATGCAAACTAGAAAAGATTTACAAAGTATCAATGATCGCCTCATTCAGGTGGCTAATTTTCATGTGAACGTTAAGTAGTTCAAGACAAATGACTGCTCAAAAGGCTAACATAGCCAAAACAGACCTTGTCATCACCCATGTTCAGAAAAATGGTATTTCTAATAAGAGTCACTGGAGAATAGAAAAAGATTTTCTTCTCCCATCCAACCATAATCGAGGTTGACTGTAACATTCAAGTAATTAGTTGGTCACCAATCTGGTGATCTCCAGAGTATTTTTTTCTTCTTATCCTTTCCTGACCGTGTCTTTGCTGAAGCACAATTCCAGACTAAACGACCAAGATCACACATATCAACAGAGTAAACAGTCTGTTTAAATACAGCACAAAATTACAGATCAACTTAAACCTGGCCGTCCACTTGATCTATCTGCATGCAATGCTAGCAGGTTTCACCAGGCAGCCATCAGGAGTAGGAATCCAGATTTGTCTGACCCTAAACCCAGGACATCAAGGTAACCTGTGGTGCCCAGGTGAAATTCAACCAAAAATTTGCTTCCGATTGCAGGCATGCCCAGATGATCCTCGGAATAATTCTGCAAAAGTGGAGCTGGGTCTTTCTCTAAACCATTATAGTCATGCAGTGTTAGCGCAGTACATTCGGAGAATTAAGTTTGCAGATCTATTTGCCTCAGCTATTCATTGGATAAATTCATTATGTCATCAGTTGAAGCAATGAGATTTCTTGATGAAGCTATAATGAGAAGCCTGGTAGGCATCAATACAAATAAGCAACATTAATGCACAATGACTGAAGGGGACCAAGGAAGTAAATGAACAAATGGATCATTCATTTAATGCCTTTATGAATAATACATAGATCATGTTTCACTTGTTTCTTCTACCAATATCCTTTTTTCAGGCAGCCTTTAATTCAGACTTGACTACATTCTTTTAAGCATTGGCTGCTCGTGGTTGCTTGATCTCAAAAATGGACATTGAAATGAGAGTCTAACCACAGAACATCAACAGACTCTACATTTCAAGGAAGCATTACAGCAGAGTAAATTCTATTTGTATGGAATAGGCACACACTAATTTATAGCTGGGGTCACTGGACAGGACACATGGATAGTTTGTCCACCTTCTTTGAAAGCATTAGGTTAATTACCAGATAGGGGCCCAGACGAATCAAAATAATTATCTGTGCCAGTTGTGCCCTAGTGATGCCAATGTCTTTCATGAGGTGTTTGTAGTTGTGGCTAGGCCAGCATTTGTTGCTTATACCACATTGCCCAGAAGGTGGTGAGCTGTTCTTTTGAATCACTGTAATCTGCCTGATACACCTCGTGCTCCTAGGGAGCCGGTTCCAGGATTTTTTTTCAGTGACAGTGAAAGCACAGCAATATTATTCCACATCAGGATATGGAAAGACTTGGAGGGAAACTTGCAGGTGGTGCTGTTCCCTTTCGACTATTCCTCAGAAGGATAGGGGCAACAAAGCTTGTTAGTGTGGAAGGCAGCTTAGCAAGTTCCGACGCTGTACCTTGTATATGGGACATATTGTTACAGTTTTGCATTGGTGGTGGAGGGAGTGAATCTTTCAGGTGCTAGATGGAGTGCCAGTCAAGGGGATTGCATTTAACCTGGATAGTGTAGAATTTGTTGAAGCCACACTCATTCAGGTGGTGCTATTCCATCACACTTTTGATTTGTGCCTTGGGGCTGGTGAACAGAATCGAGGGAGACAGGAGGTGGGTTACTTGCCACAGTATTTCCAGTCTCTGACTTACCCTTGTATACTCAACATTTATAAAGGCTGGTCCAATTCAACTTTTGGTTGATGGTAACCCCCAGGATTTTAACAGTGGGGGTTTCAGTGATGGGGGGGGGGGCGGCGGGGGGAGGGGGTTAGATTTGTGTCTTATTGAAGATTATCATTTGTGGGGCTTGAATGTTACTTTCCACTTGTCAGGTCAAGCCTGAATGTTGTCCAGCACTTATTGCAAATGGACTTGGCTGCTTCAGTATTTCCGGAGTTGTAAATGGTAGTGAACAATGTGCAATCATAGTGGGAAGCTCACTGCTGATCAGTTGAAGACGGCTGGGCCTAGAACACTACCCTGAAGCAGTCATGCAGAGATGTCTGGGAACTGAAATGACTCACCTCCAACAACTACAACCATCTCCCTTTGAGCTAGATATGACTTCAATCAAGGAGAACATTTCCCCCAATTCTCATTGACTTCAGTTTTGTTGAAGTTCCTTGATTTTACGGGCAGTCACTTTCACCTTGCCTCTTTTGTCCATGTTTGGACCAAACCTGTAGAAAGGTTCAGGGGTTGTGGCCCTGTCTGAACCTAAACTGAATGTCAGTGAGCAGGTTATTGATCAGCAAGTGTTGCTTGATAGCTCTGTCTATCACATCTTCCATTATGTTTCAGATTATTGAGGACGCTGATATGGAGGCAACTGTCCAGGTTCAATTTATCCTGCTTCTTGGACTCAGATCATATCCAGACAATTTTCCACACTGTTGGATAGATTCCAATGTCGTAGCTATACTGGAACCAACTTGGCTAAAGGTGTGGCTAGTTTTGGAGTATTCCAGGAGCCATTGCTTTTTGCATTATCCAATGCCTTCAGCCCTTTCTTGCTATTTGATTTGATTTATTATTGTCACATGTACCTGAGTGCAGTGAAAAGTTTTGTTTTGCATGCAGTGCAGGCAGATCATAACATAAAAAGATCATAGGGTGATTGAGCACAGTGAGGAATGCAAAGTTACGGTTGCAAAGAAGGTGCACAGAGAGCAAGATCAACATTAGATTTGAAATTTCAGAAGTTCATTTAGAAGTCCAATAACAGCAGGGAAGAAACTATTCTTGAACCTGTTGGTACATGTGTTTAAGCGTTTGTATCCTCTACCTTATGGAAGAGGTAGGAACAGATTGTAACCAGGGGAGGGTTTTTGTTGATGCTGGCTGCCTTTCTGAGACAGTGGGAAATATACATGGGTTAGTGGTTGGAAGGTTGGTTTGCGTGATGGACTGGGCTGCGTTCACAACTCTCTGTAGTTTCTTATGGTCCTGAGCAGAGCAATTGTTATACCAAGCTGTGATGCATCCAGATAGGGTCCTTTCTATGATGCTTCTGTAAAAGTTGGTGAGAGTTGCTATCACGTGGAGTGTATCAAATTGGCTGAAGACTGGGATGTATAATCTTGGGCACCTCAGCAGGAAGACAGAATGGGTCATCTGCACAGCGTTCTGGCTGAAGTCGGATGCAAATGCTTCAGCCTTATCTAGAGCAACCCATAGCTGGTTCACTTCAGTCTCTGGTCGATGGTAAATCCACTGGATGTTGAAGGTGGGGAAATTCAGTGATGTTAACAATGTCAAATGTCAAGGAGAGATAGTCAGGTTTTCTTAGTGGGAATAGCCATTGACTGACACTTGCGTGGTTTGAATGCCCAGTTGTGGAGTCAGAAATTTGTGGAGCTTGATTCCCATTTCGGAGATTTAAATCCTTCTCTGCAATACCGAGAGGGAGCAGCATTATCATCAGTGTTGTCATTCAAATGATATGCCATAATGTGCTGAGCTATCTTCTTGGTGAAATTCAAAAGAACCCATAACACAAAGTGAAGAACAACAGGCTTTTCTTCTGTGTTCTAACTAATATTGAGCTCTTAAATATCCACAAAACAGATTACTTGTCATTATCAGTTTGCTATTTTGTAAGTAGTTGCTGTGTTTTATATATGAAAGGCATTTGGCTGTGAATTAGCTTATCCTAAGGACACAAACATGTAAATGCATGACTTTCTTTTTTTAAAATGCAATGTTGATCCTGCAGTTATCAAAAAAAAAATAAGGATTAGATCTTGGGGACTTTGTTAATCTGTCTGGTTTAGCAGTACACAAGCCACATCCTTTTACAAAGAACCTGCATTTGATTTTATCACGGCTTTACAGAATTGTGAAACGAAAAGAAATATTTAGACAGCAAAGGATCTCATTTGGAGTACAAAGTAATGGCAATCGTGTTCCATTATAACAACCAAGTCTGTAATTGCTAACAATTAATTAGTTAGTACACCTTTGAATAGGATATGGAATTCAATGAAAAAAGGACCCTGATTTGGCATAAATCAATCACACACAAACTGAAATTATAAACACATTAATATATAGCAACTAAAATGGTTTATTTTTGTTTTTACTTTTGAACTTTGAGCCAGTGGAAATGTCAGTGGTTTTTATCAACTCGAAAACTATATAAAATGTACCTCAATTTGTTTTTTAAAAAGCTGGCAGAGTTTTCAAATATTGTTTCAACCTCAAAAATAGAACACGATATACATTATTTACAAAAGCAAAGAAATAAAATGTTTTCTAATATTTACACAGTTGAGCTGAAGGTTTCTGCTACAAAAAGAAAAAGCCCTTTAACAATGAAGAAGGAATAAAAGCTTCTCTAAGTCAATACTATTTCCTTCAATCACCCATTAGACTCCCAGTGAAAATTGCACACGTACAACAAAGGATGAAGAATGAAGATCACAACGAAACAACTTGAGTCTTCTGGTACTTCAGTTTTCATTTTAAATTCATCAGGTTAACAAAAAATGATTTTGATTTCTTTTAAAATTAAGCAAAAATGAAGCTTACTCATCAGTATCAAGGTATGTAACAGCGCTAGCTTTTAAGTTTAATTGAAGCTCTTTTGAGCCTTATCAATAGACCCCATATTTACAATGCAATAAAATTCAACACAAATATTTCCAGTGCGAACAAGATGGAACTTCCCATACAAAGGCCATGCTGTGGCAATGCAGAATGGCTACAGACATACAGTTAAAGTTTGGCAGGATCAAATTATAGTCTAGATGCAGGGTAGTGTGCTTGATAAGTGTAAGAAATTCAGTTTTTACCACTCCAAACTTCTCAAATAACAAATTCATACAAACAAACAACCAAAAGAGTGAATGGTTGTCCCAAGGTAATGTTTCATCCACTGTCACCTCCTCCAGTTTAGTAGCACCTTTTACCTGCAAACCCTTTATTTACAACATTAAACTAAACATGTTTTGAGTTGAATCAAGTCCACCAATCTGAAATTACATTTCTCTAGATCTAGTTTCTAAAAGAAAAACAAAAGGTGGAAAGGAGGATGAGGAAGGGAAGCCCAACAAAGTCACTGTGTGTCCACCACTCTGTTCTCGCCTGCTCTAAATACCATGTGGCTAGGAAGCACACCTGCATTTGTGAGCACTATTACATGGGACTGCTGGGTCTCATGCTCGCCTTGCTGGGTGGTTCCTTCCTGGCTCTCCTGCCTGGTTGAAGCTGGTTTCGCCTCTGGTGCTTTGATGACAGATGCAATGACTGTGCCTTGTGGCTGGCTCACAACCTGCTGACTGGCAGCAAAGGTCACGACTGGAGTGGCAGCGCTTAGTGTGCCAGATGACGATATAGCTGGTGTTCCATTATTTGGTACTTGTGGACTGGTTGGAAGAACTTGCTGATCACTGGTACCACACAGAGCTAGAGATGTCGGCGTAACTATCTTCGCAGAGACTGAACTGCCTTGCAAAGCAACGTTTTCTTTCAGCACAGTGACCGGGTGAGAAGATGGAACTGTTTGGAAAACAAACTTGGGCGAGGACATTGCTAAATCAGTGCTTGTGATCACAGTTGTTAGGGGGACAGTTTGTAACGTGACTGTACCAACTCGCTGAGTTCCTGGCGACACAACCACTGGAACCTGTGATGACAGCTTTATTGTTCTGGGGAAAGAACAAAGTTAACAGATCAGGGTGATATTCACAGTATCTTATGAATATTTTTCTCATTTTGGACCATTTAAAGTAGCTCATCAAAAAGATATTATCCTCCTTCTCATTTATTTGTTATCATTTGTGGGAATGTGTGTGTGCAACAAATGCTGCATGACTATTCTGCTGTCATTTTCCTGAAAACTACTGCACACAAAACATCTTATAGCATCAGACTTCTCAATGGCTGAAGTCAGCACTTGATGTGCTATTCAATTTAATGATACAGAAACATTTTTTTAGAAATACACTATATATTGAGACTTTTCTCTTGCTTCTCCCTGGTTTCCAAATGACTACTTTTTTCAAACACTTCTAACCTGAACATTTTTTGACTTGCTGTGCATAGCTTAGTATTTGAATAGAATGATGACGGGAGCCTAGTGTTGACCAGAGACCATTAACACCAGCCCCTCTTGACAGTGTGTTTAAGTGCTATAAATTCTGGAGCGGGGGGGCAGTGGAATTTAGTACCATTTGGGTATCTATATTCTTTAAAAACAAACACATAAAACAAGATAACTATATTGCATCAAACAACTTTTTTGTGTAGTTCCGTTTCCCCTGAACACGTGGTACAGAGTGTGAAACAACTTGCATAATCACCTTCGATAACCTGATCACTTCATTTGCTGAATGAATTATTTGTCTGCAAGAAAGATCAAAAATCGAAGATATAGCTTAACCTCTGGTGGCCTAATCCCAGCTAGTGTACAGATAGGGCACAATGATTAGCCTTTGCTGCATCTAGGTTTTTGCTTGATGTTGTCTGATTGTTCATAACTGATATAGGTTACTTTGTGGATTCTTCTGGCCTAGTTCCAGAAAACTCATTCCAATGAAGCATCATGTGGAAGGACAGTGAAAATACTCTCTCCCTTACCTGCTTCAGTCCAAACCAATCTCATGGAGGTATTTTATTTTGATGATTAGCTCATGTCTGCACATTTCAATAACCATCCACCTTTCCTAAAGACTCAGATATTAGTGAGAAACTCCGGCTCAGCTTTGTACAATTGGGATACACAGTCAATTCACAATAACCCTGGCCAGAAAGCTCAAGCACATGCTGGCAATAAATACCCAGGAATTTGCAATTATGTGGGGACACTGCTAACTTTAGTAACAATTGTGGTATCAAATTCATACGTGTTTTCTGAGGCCACACTATCAAGACAGTGGCACATTGGGTTATATGTAAAAGTATGAAAACCACCACTGTCACTAGTAAAGGTCTACATTTCTGGATCCATTAAAGGGTAACGTTGGCTCATAGTCAGTACACTGAAGTAGAATTTTAGAGCAAATTGCTGCAGATGTTTGAATCTGTACTGAAAACAGAAAATGTTAGAAATCACAGCGGGTCAGGCAGTATCCATGGAAAGAGAGCAAGCTAATGTTTCAAATCTAGATGAGGCTTCATCAAAGCTGATGATTTGATCATAAAAGAGACAAATTATGTTCGGATGACATTCAAAAGAATCTAGTAAAACCTAGGTGACCAGTTCTCTTTTTAAGAGCAATTCATTGCAATGGCGTATTCTTTTTGGAATTCTGGTTTCATGAGTTCAATTTAGTCCAGAAATCATTTTAAGAATCATATAATCCCTACAGTGTGGAAACAGGCCATTTGGCCCAACGAGTGCACACTAATCTGCCAAACAGCATCCCACCCTAACTCACTCCCCCTACCCTATCCCTGCATTTCCCGTGGCTAATCTGCAAATCCCTGAACACTATGGACAATTTAGCATGGCCAATCCACCTAACTTACAAATGTATGGACTATGGGAGGAAACCAGAGTACCCAGAGGAAACCCACACAGACAGTCGCCTGAGGCTGGAATTGAACCCGAGTTCCTGGCGCTGTGAGGCAACAGTGCTAACCACTAAGCCATTGCACTGCTCCTATTAATCTTTGAGAGTTTGAAGTGATAGATAACAACATCAATATATGGACAGAGCAGGCCATTCGTCCCCTCAAACTTGAACTCCAACTGGCTGAGCGTCTACAGAATTTTGGGGGAGGTGTTCCAAATTTCATTCAACTTTGTGTTAAACTTTGTAACTTTTCAAAATGAATAACAGTGTACTTAAGATGTTGAAAAACTGAAATAAAAGTAGGGAACATTGGAAGTGGTCAGGTCAGGCAGTTTGTATGGAGTTTCAGGTCAATGTCTACACTTCCGAACGGAGAAATGTGAGATGTAACGTGGGATGGGGCAAAGGGAAGCTCTGCGAAAGGTGGGGGAAGGCAGGAGAACTAAAATGACAGAAGTGTCAAGTCTTACAGTGCAAAGGGGTGATAAGGAAAGAAAAGAAATAAAAGATGTACTTCAAGCATTGTGCAGCTGTCTGACAAATTAAAAAAGGAAGAGAAAAACTGTAACGTGCAAAGAAAAAGAAACAAAAATGTGAGGAATGAATCTGTGATCTGAAAGTGAACTCAGCATTACATTTTCATTCTCATTTCATTCTTTCTTGAATATCGGTTTCTAATTTGTAGATTCTGCCTCTTGGTTCAGGATTTGCCCCCACCAGACAATCTTGTGATTTCTTTATTATTTCATCTAGCCGTTGACCCTTTGTTCTCTATAGGAACGCTGTCTTAAAGCAATGGTTTGTCTTTACCTCACTGATGGAGCAGCTGATGCATTCATCGGCGCGGAGACAGGTACGTTTCTGGTGATGACCTTTTGGCCTTCATGCCGAGGTGATGCTGACTGTACAACCTGTACGGTCTTTAGGATGCTGGTTGGCTGCACCTTTTGAGTGGGGGGAGCACCCTTCACCATTTCCGTTGGCAGTAGGTGCGCTGACCGCTGCACAGTCTCCTCTACTGTTGCCTTCACAGGCGTGACCACAGGAGTGGGCTGCAGTAAAGCTTTCTGGATGCCTGACGTCACACACGAAGTAACCCTGGGTTGCTGGGTTTGGACACTACTCATGACGACCGAGGACAAGACCGTTGGAGATGAACAGGCTGCCGAAGCTGACGGAACCATACAGGCTGCAAGATTAGGGGGGTTCTCCTGGCTGTTGGGAGTGAAGCTGGGATCGTCATCATCAATGTTCACTAGGTTCTTGGGCATCTCTTTGAACTGGTAGACTAACCGTTGTCCCTCCACCTTGGCAAGGATTCCCCTTTGGTAATAATACCTGTAAAGAAAGCATAGAAGTAGTCAAATTTGGAAATATATACAAATGTATCACACTAAAGATGACACTAAAACATGGCAGAATTTCTAGGGCTTCTAAGTTGAACAATAAAAGGTAGAAACTGAGCATGATAGGGGCTGTTTCTGTGCTGTATGACCTTTCAGCGCAACTCGTGCATGCCAACCAGGCTTCCCAAACTAAACTAGTCCCACTTGCTTGCATTTGGCCTATTTCCCTCTAAATCTTTCATACTCAAGTACCTGTCCAAATGTCTTTTAAATGTTGTAACTGAACCTGCACCTACCACTTCCTCTGGCAGTTCATTCCACATACAACCATCCTCTGGCTCTCAACTTTTTACCTTGAGCAGTTACTCCTTATCTACTCTGTCCAGTTTTCTCATGATTTTAACACCTCTACAGATTGTGCTTGTATCTGTTTCGCGAGCTTGATGTTTCCTGAACAGGTCACCAGCCTCTTGTCGCCATGGTGTGCTGCCAATTTGCTAAATTACTTTACCAAACTCACAAGCCAAAGGATTAACCCTGGTTCGATGATATCAAGAGGCAGTACCAGGCACATAGAAAAAGGCCATATGACTCATCAAGTCTGCGCCGACCCTCTGAAGAGCATCCCACCCCTATCCCTATTCCCGTAACTGTGCATAACCCACCTAGCCTACATGCCCCCAGGTACCACACGGCAGTTTAGCATGGCCAATTCATTTAACCTGCACATCTTTGTACTGTGGCAGGAAACCAGAGCATCCAGAGGAAAATCCACACAGACACAGGGGGAACGTGCAAACTCCACACAGGTAGTCACCCGAGGCTGGAGTCGAACCCTGGTCTCCAGTGATGGGAGGTAGCAGTGCTAACTACTGAGCCACTGTGCCACCCCGATGAAAAATAAAGAAGCACCTTGCTACGTCGACAAGCTTAGCAAACCTACATCCAATGGACGAGGTCAAAGTTCTGCCATGCACAATTCTGAATGGTGGTGGACTAATTACACAAATGTCTCTATCTATAACAATTGTGGAACCCACAAAGTTGGTGCACAAGGTAAGGTGAAGCAACTGCCATCACCTCCAGTTGGAAGAACCAAGTCGATGATGCATCTCAGCCTCCTCTCAAGGTTTCCACCATTATCAGAGGCAATTTTCAGCCAATTTGAGTCACTACACTCGAGATTAAGAAATAGTTGAGCATATTAAACACAGCTACATTCCAGCTCTTTTCATGGAACAAATGTGCTGCAAAGAACTTGGAGAACCAGGTTTTCCACTTTCTGTTGGGGCTCAGAACAGGAAGTCCTGAGGAGGAACAGGCCATTTGGTCCATCCTGTGAAAAGCTAGGTCTTGTGCTTCTTCCTGAGTTTTAGGAGGGACAAAACTTTTTCTTAAATGCTTCATGATTTCTCCAATTTTCTCTTCCAATCTTAGTTTTAAAACTCAGCATGGCAGCTGTTTTCCTGAATTAATATGGCTACATTATGCCCAAAGTGGGCTTTAAAGACCATTTCTCAAAGTTTCAGAATACTGCTACTTGTGAATTTTGCACAAATTCAGGAAAAACATAAAAATCTAAAATAGTTATTGGTTACATCTCTCCTACATCTACTAGTAATGGACGAGACCCCTCACTGATACGTGCTGGTCTATGATACCCTATCGGTACATCAAAATAACTTACCTGAGAGCTCTACCCATAGTCTCGTAGTTCATGTCTGGCTTATTTTTGTGTTTTCCCCAAAGTCTGGACACAGCTTTTGAGTCAACCAGCTTGAAGATGCCCTTTTCTCTCTGAGTCCATTTGATGTAGCGAGGACATGTACTCTTGTCCTGAAGCAAAGCCAGCAAGAATTCCCAGAGGTAGATTGTGTTTCCTGCATTTTTATAATAATGTGGTTAGAGGTTGAGTTTGAAGGTGAACGTGTATTTAATGAATGACAATTAAGTGCAGCAAATGTGGCAACCATTTTATACAAAAGATCAAACCATAAAAGGAAGACTGAGCAGTTGTTTAATGAAAGGATTAAAAAGGCTTGCACTCTTCACAATCTCATGATTTGTGCACAGCAAACTCCAAACCAAGCAATAATGTAATAACCAGATAATCTTCATCTACACCGGTCAACACACTGAGGAGAACTGTTTTCTTCTTTGAATAGCATGTTCTACATCCTTCTCAGAGGAAGTCAGGGCATCAGATTAATGTCTTATCTGAGAAGAAGTATCTTCGACATTGAGGCATATTCTGAGTATGCACAGGTGGGTCAGTCTATATTGTGTGCCCTAGATTGACGCTGGTCTCTGTCTTCCTGACTGAGACAGGAAAGTGCTACCACTGGGTCAAGACAGACATATTAAAGCTAATGATATCGACAGAGGGACAAATGCTGGTAGACGAGGACAGATTTCTCTGCAGTGGAAACTATGACATCATTTATAACATTGCCCAGAGATAGGGCATCAATTTGAAAGATGATACCTGTGGCAATGCAACATTCCTCCCTCCCCAACTCACACATATAAAGTACCGGACTGAACAAACAATCCTTCAGTTTCCCATGAAATATTATTTTTGAGGATCAAAAACATTTTTGGAGTACATATGAGGAACTGAAGCCGCAACCACACTGTAGGCCTTTGTAAAAGGAACACTTAAAATGTTCACTGGTGGAGGGTTAACAGGAATGACAGCAACTGCGTATTTACGTTACCCAAGGGCAATATTACTGCTTCCATCAAATCCTCAAAACCTTCTGCAGTACCTTTTTGAGCCTCCATATTGTTATGTCTTCCATAGAATCCCTACAGTGTGAAAACAGGCCCTTCAGCCCAACTAGTCCACACCAACCCTGGGAACATCCCACCCAGACCCATTCCCCAAACCCATCTAATCTGCACATCCCTGAACATTATGGGGCAATTTAGCATGGCCAATCCACCTAGCCTGCAAATCTTTGGACTGTGGGAGGAAACCGGAGCACCTGGGGGAAACCCACGCAGACACGGGGAGAACGTGCAAACTCCACACAGACAGCTGCCCGAGGGTGGAATCGAACCCGGGCCCCTGGCGCTGTGAGGCAGCAGTGCTAACCACTGAGCCACCGTGCCACCCTCTGAAGTCCAGAGGGATATAAAGGAAAAAACAAGTCATGAGAAATGAGAATGATGCATATTCTTAGCTCTATCTGTACTGGAAGAAACTTACTTCAGTACTGTCCTTTCAAGACTCAAGTTAAATTCTTTGTTGCAGGCCCAGATGAGCCACCATTTTTGAACAATTGGATGTGCTCCTCTGTCACTGGTGGCTCAACATCAGAACCCATTATGTTCCACATATTCTTTTCGACACCGAAAATGAGCAACTATTTTAACAACCTCACTTTTTGTAAAGGTCCCTCTCTACAGGATTCCAGTATAGTGAATCCATTTGTACAAGAAATTATCATTGAATATCGTAGAATCTCTACAGTGTGGAAACAGGCCCTTCGGCCCAACAAGCCTATACCAACCCTCAGAGCATCCCATCCAGACCCATCCCCCTATAACCCACCTAATCTACATATCCCTGAACACTGTGGGTAATTTAGCCTGACCAATCCACCTAGCCTGCACATCTTTGGACTGTGGGAGGAAATCGGAGCACCCGGAGGAAACTCACGCAGACATGGGGCAAACTCCACACAGACAGATGCCCGAGGGTGGAATCAAACCTGGGTCTCTGGCGCTGTGAGGCAACAGTGCTAACCACTGAGCCACCGTGTTGCCCCAAATTAGTCGTTTAGACTTCATGAGGAGCAGGTAGGTCAAACTAAGCATAAAAAAGGGGTTGAAACACAGCACAATCTTCCTTAAAATGAATTCCTCTCGGGTCAGCTTTGGTACTGCACCCAAGTGTTTGAGGAGCAGAGAGCATACTAACCTAACAGGGAATTGGTCGAAAAGATGAAGTAGAGCTAATTTACAAGAAGCAAATCTTGAAACCATGATTGCTGCTTTGGCATGGAAGTGTGTTAACCATAAGAGTCACCTTTTTTCTCATTTCAATGCTTAGCCAAAAAAAACACTGAAGTGAGAAAATGAAAAAGTCCACTCAGGTATTACAAAATAAAGCAATGTAAAGGATTCTACTTAAGAATAGGTGAGTTGTTATTGTTTCAGGGTTGGCAGCTGTGCAATATGTTTGGTGTCTTTACCACATACATCTATAACTATCACTGTGCGCAAAAATGCAAGATGTGGTGAGATTTTATCAATTGAAATAATGTGAAATAAGAGTACAGCATTTCAATGCTAGAATTAATGTTTAAAGTTTATGTTCGGTGCTGACGGCTTTTAAAAGGCATGAATTAAAACATTGGATGGGCACCCGGAAGTTTCCTTTTGGATCTTCACCTTTGCTCAAGAGTTTATGTGAGGAATGCATGTAAATCTACACAACATCAATAAAACTAGGATCCAGTTTCAATGGTGCTCCATCAAGAGGCTACTTAATTTTTTTTACCTTCAACTGGAATCTTTAAAAACATAGACTCTATGTTTCTGAATACTATAATGGATTACCTTTGCCATCTTTGTTCTTTCGTTTTGCAGGGAAGTCTGGATTTGTAACCGGTGAGACTGGACGTAAAGCTTTGGGTTTTCGTCCTGGAATCAAAGTATTTGAGGTTTCAATTAATTTTACATGTGAACAGAAATAAATTAGGAACAAGAGCAATGCCACTGCTGCAAGTAAAATTTTAAGGGGTGAACAAAATTGCTCCAAAAGCACTTTCCACACGCGCAAAAGAAAAATCATACATCACTCTGATAATCTAATGTAGCCCCTTCAAATTGCCCTGGATTTGTACAGAACCAAACACAACACAGTAACAACCAAAAGAACTGCGGATGCTGTAAATCAGAAACAAAAACAGAAATTGCTGCAAAAAACTCAGCAGGTCTGGCAGTATCTGTGGAGAGAAGTTCGAGTTAGGGTCACTTGACCTGAAACGCTTTCTCAAAACACAGCACAGTCCTGATTTCCACTGAACAACTGACACATGCCATCTCTCATTTAAAAATAAATACATCCCACGTGTTGAAATTGGCTTGCTCACTGCAATGATGTGTTAATCGTAAGTACCATTCTAAACATTTCCCCAGGGCTGGAGTGATTACGTCCAAGCAATTGAAATAGTTGTTGATTAAACTCCAAGTTCAAAATGGATCAATATTTTATACTTCCATGATGATTTCAGAAAATTCCCTATTGCACCAACTCAAAAGCAAGAAGACTCCATTGTGACGATTTATCACTGGGGATCTGAGTTCAAATCCCACCATGGTGGATGGTGGAATTTGACTTCAATACAAAAATAATCTGGAATCAAGAATCTAACGACGACCATGAAATTATTGCCAATGATCAGAAAATCACATCTGGTTCTCTAGTGAAACTAAAGTCCTCACCTGGTCTGGCCTATATGTGACTCCAGGCTCACAGCAATGTGATTGACTCACAACTACTCTCCAGGCAATTAGGGATGGGTAATAAATGCTGGTCTAGCCAATGACGCCCACATCCCACGAAGAAATTTAAAAGAAAATTCTCATTTTACACTTATACTAAGTGGCAGTACAATAATCTGTTCTGTGAATGGCCACTAACTGACCAATGCGACCCATTTGAAAATGCATGTAGAAGGTGACCTCCTCCTTGTTCTGTGCCAAAGACTGACCTTTCCTTTTTTTGGTTTGCTCCAATGATTCACTGACCACTTCCTGATGGGCAGCTTCCTGCATCAGGATAATCTCTTGTGCATTCTCCACCACTTCAGGAACTCCATCAGCCCGTACGGAGATGTGCGTGATGGGAGCTGTGTCCACTCCACTTGTTGAAGGCATGAACACATGAGCTGAGAAAGGAGAGACGGGGAAAAAAAAAAAATCAGTGGATCCAGTTACCACAGCAAGACTTGAACAACAATGAGAATTTGTTATGGTGGGTACTGGTCAGTTGTTATTGGATTATTATTTGACAATTGCTCCAAAAGCAAGCTATGAAGGAAATCAATAATACTGTCAAACTAACCTGTTGTTTAAAATGCATAAGTCACTCTGCAGCTGGCATGTGACTAGAAGATACCAGTAATTTGTGCCATTTTAACTCAGACAGATGCACAAAGCTCATTGCATCCATATTTAGTTCCCCTCTCCAATAACGGGTGCCCTCCAATGGTTAAAGTGACAGAGGTTAGCTTCAGTCACTGAACAGCCATAATTCCACACATTTTGTTTACCAAATAACCAGACCCAAAGATTACTTCAAAATACAGAAACTCAGAATTGTTACAAGAATCATGACTACTTCATTGGAATCGGGCATTTGGGAAGACTTAAGATGTGAATGGAAAACAGGAGGTAACATTAGTGAGGACAAAACATGTCAAGAATTCCAAGAGTGTGTTCCAATTAATAACTTAATTAAAAAAAATTCAAACTATCAATAGTTGAAAGGATGACAATCAAGGTTTAACATTTCATTACATTTAACTTAAAAAATTATTAAAGAGACTACTGACTACATAATATCTTTTAGACAACTTTACTTTAAAACACAGGACACTAAAGCTGTGATAACAAGGTGTAGAGCTGGATGAACACAGCAGGCCAAGCAGCATCAGAGGAGCAGGAAGGCTGACGTTTTGGGTCTAGACCCTTCCCCGAAACGTCAGCTTTCCTGCTCGGCCTGCTGTGTTCATCCAGCTCTACACCTTGTTATCTCAGATTCTCCAGCATCGGCAGTTCCTACTATCTCTGTCATACTAAAGCTGTGTTTTTGTTTTGGCACAACTGAGAAAAAAACACTTCACGGCTGTAGCTCACAACATCTTTTAAGTGGAATCCTGACTTACTAGCCCAATGAAACAACTGGATGAAGTATCATTAAGGGAACATTCAGGAGAGAATGATTACAATATTGTTTCTTTTAGATTAGCTGTCGGAAAAGGCCAAGGAGTGATCCAGAGTAAGAATAATTAATTGGGAGAAACCCAATTTCAGCTGGGCTCTGGCTCAGAGGGGAACTAAAAAAAGAAATAAGAGCAGCAAAGACAGAGACAATAGAAGGGAAGATTGATAGCAAACATAAAAAGGAAATCCTAGAGTCTTCCACAGGTATAGAAATAATAAAAAATATAGTTAAAAAGAGGAGGAGGATCAAACAAGAGGTAGAAGCATGGGTGAAGTAATAGGTAACTACTTGGTATTTCTGTATACAAGAAATACTGGAAATCACAGCAGGTCAGGCAGCATCTGTGGGGAGAGAGCAAGCTAATGTTTCGATGAAGGGTCATCCAGACTTGAAACATTAGCTTGCTGTCTCACCTGCTGTGACTTCCAGCATTTGTTATTTTCAGTACAGATTCCAGCATTTGTAGTAATTTGCTCCTATATTAATTTCTCACTGGCTTCAATATCACTTTGTTTGGTAAGAGAAATACCCAGATTCTGGATGGGTTAAAAATTGAAGAAGAGGTATTAGAAAGACTAGGGCCTTGAGGTGAAGGCCAGTGTAGCCTGGAGGCTAGGTGCCAGTGTGGACTGGTTTGGAAGGACAATTGTTCTGAACTTCTTGTTTCTCTATTTTCTAATTTATTCCCTTGATCTGTAATGCTGGGCCTTTTATTTCTTTATTTTTCTAGTTGTTTTTCCTAAGAACTTGTACTGAAGAATATGTACCTAAGTATCTTGTACCCAAGATGGCGCCGTTAGTGGCGACTTATAAATTTTTCACTGTACTCAAATGAGTACGTGTGACAATAAAGTTGATTCAATTCAATGTAAAAGTTGATAGATCACCACGACAGGATCAGATTGGGCTCAGAAAAGAATGCAAGGATAAGCTCAGCACATATAAACCTGTCAGTCAGTTTACCATCAATGGGTGGGAATATTTTAGGAACAATTGTCTGGACAAAAATTAACAGCCACTTGGACACAGGTAGATTAAATTAAGAAAAACAACATTAGATTGTTGAAATCAAGTGGCGTTTAAATACTTTGAGTTTTTTGATAATGTTCCAGACAGGGTTATTGAGGGTGATACATGCAATATGGGACAAATGGGCAACCAAGGGGTGCTTTATAGAGTGCCACAGAGCTGCAAAATTAAACCCAGTGGAATAAGAGTCGCAGCATTGCTACAAAGTTAGTTGAGTGACGGGAAACAGTGTAGTAATCGGGACTAAACTGAATGTTGTGTCTTCAAAATCCACAGCCTCAGAACTGGGCCATTGCTGGACAAGAGAATACATTGAACCAAGAGAGATCACATGCCTAAGAAACAGCACAGGCTTGTTGCCTGTGCTATCCCATAACAAAATCGAACACACGGCCTGTCCGACATTCCTGAAGAGATTGAGGTCTCGTTGGTAAAAACGGACTGTTTCAGAATACCAACACCTCTTGGTATTCTCAGAGTGATGGAGGGGGAAGGAATCTAACTAGCATGCTAAACTACGTAATCTTTGTTTATAACCAGCAGTAAACCCTGGTAAAAGCACCTAATCCAACAGTAACAAGTAGTTACTAAGTGCTGACTTTTGGGATGAGACAGGGCAGTGGGACAACCTTAAACTGGGAATACCTTCAGTACTCTACTATAGCAGGTGGTGAGCCACAGAGATTGCTAGACTGGAGAGTGTGCCAGACAGGGAGTTTGCCTAGGGTTCAGTTTTAGGACCTCTACTTATATTGATCTAAATTATTCACTAGACCTGGGTGTACAGAGTACAATTTTAAAACTTATATATAACAAAAAATCCGAGATGTATTGTGAACTGTGAGGAGAGTTCAAGAGGGCACAAGCCAATTGATGGAATGTGTGGATTCATAGCAGATGAAGTTGAATTCAGAGAATTGTGTGCTGATGCATCTTGGTAGGAAAAATTAGAAAGGACAATTTAAAATAAATGGGTAAAATTCTAAAGGAAACAGGAGGATCTGCAGATATATGTTCACAAATCACTGAATGGGGGAGGGCAGGTTGAAAGTGCTGTTAGTGCCTTCTAGATCCTGAGCTTTATAAATAGAGGAGCAGAGTGAGTACAAAAGCAAATTAGTCACGTGAACCTTTAAAATACACTAGACAGCTTCAAGTGGATTATAATGCCCACTTCTGGGCACCACACTTTAGGAAGGATTTGAAGGCTATAAAGAGAGTTCGTAAAAGATTTATGAAAATGATTTCAAGGAGAAGGCTTCAGTTACACAGATACTTTGGAGACAATGAGGTTGTTTGTCATGGTGAAGGAGAAAGTTGAGAGGAGATATTCAAACTCACGTGGAGACTAGGAAGAGTAGCTAGAAAATACTCCCAGTTGCAGAACAGACAAGACCCTGAAGGCATTGATTTCAAGTGATTGGTTTAAAAAAAAATCAGAGGAGACAGGAGGAAAAACCTTTTTAACAGGCAAACTTTTTAAACCACCTTTTTACATGATTCTATAACCTGTATGGTCATGTGGGGTTGGCCAGTGATGACTTGAATATTGATGATTGCAGCAAGTGAAGTTCATAACATCGAGATGGTGTCTCTGCAGGTCTGGATGTTGCATGGGGGTCTATCTATGGTCTTCGGTGCAACCTACCATATGGAAGCAGTGCACCAACTTTGTCATTCTGCCAGGGGCTTTCTCATCCAGAAAACAATCCAGATGTCTACCTTGGTGAACAAAGCATCAGCCACTGTGCAGCGGTGCACTGCAATGTCCCCAGGTGCAGCAGGAAGGAATTTCAGGATGGAAAACCTCAGAGCAGCAGCAGAGGTCCTCTGCAAACCAGGAGGCAGATTGCAGGAAATGCTACCAATGCTGTTCCTGTTGAACTCTGGCCCAAAAAGGCACAACTCTCAAGCCATTTGCAGATGGACATGTCTGTAACAGAACTGAGAGAATAATCACAGATGCAGTACATTAGAGCGCGGTGAAGGAACCTGATTTGTTGCATCTCCTAAAATAACCAGGCTCCCAAATGAATGAATGACAATTATTCTTTTTAACAGGTTGATTGAGGGGGTGATAAGGACAGCAGGAGGTTGTGATGGGGAAACGGTGAGTGCAATAGGAACTATCCAGATTTTGCCATCAAACACTGAGAAGACTGTCACATTTACACACTTCCTGGGCCACTAATTGGAAAAGGAACATAATAAAAACCATACAATAAAAACTGAGGTTACCATGCTAAGACAGGTGGAAGGTAGATAAATTCTTGAAGAGTCAGGGAATCGAGGGTCATGAGGAAAGGGTAGGAAGGTGGACGATAGGAATGTTGGATCAGACTCAAAGGGCAGAACGGTGTATTCCTTTTCCTATTTCTTATTGTCTTATGGAACATATCAAACCACTGTTATGGCACCAAGCATTGGTAATCCGTATGCAACTGATTCCAAGTTGTAATGTATTCTGTAATTAAACAGTTAATATTTTATACAATTATAAAGGAGCTTTGAACTAGTACTCACTTATCCTTTTCTCTTCAAAGGCAGGGCCAGGTGAGTCCATATTAAGCAGTGCCTCAGCAGCCTCAATTGTTTCCATTGTTTCATCGCCATTTTGACAGGAAGCCTCCACTGCAACACCAGAAACACAGATAATTAATGGTGACACGTCCAAGAATGATAAAATTATGAAACAATAATTACACTGTGGCTGAGAAAGGGAAATGAAATCCCTGCCCTCAACTCATCCCAGCTCCTTCTTCATGCCACACGTTCCTGCCCCTTTCTGACTCTAGCTTAAGGTGACACTAAGAGGCTAGTCCATTTAGCTACACACTCTCAAAAGACTGTTCAAAACCACATTTAGTGACCTGGCCTTCTATCTCATCACCGATCACTGCTTAACAGACGTGTACTGAAGCAAAACAAACTTAAATAGAACATCCAAAGTAGACCATAGTAACTGATATGATCACAGAGGTACTACGCTAAAACTTAAGTTGCAAGTACATCTTGAAAAAAAAATCAACAGTTTAACCACAGAATCCTCCACATTTTTCACCTAAGTATTACAAAACATTTTCCCCCTTCAAGGTGCTACATTAACATCAGTTTTGTGGGTAAGTTTAATAGTTATAACTTACTAATGCTGCTGATTGGCATCAGAATGACGAACACAGATTAAACAGGTCCCAACATGTGCGCACAAGAAGGAGAAAATAAAAGGGAAAAGCGGGCAAGAAGGATGCAGAAGATCACAGAAGAGGGAGAACAGGGAGCTACATTGGCACACACAGTATAGGCATGATGACCGCTATCAAGTGAGCACACAAGGAGAGGAATACAAGGAGGAAGAAAGATAGTACTCTGCATACATTCAAAATATGCAGAATGGGGGAATGAATGAATGGAAGTCAGTATAAGGCGGGGGGGTGGGGAGAAGGAGAATCAAACCTTTTGACTTAACCCTGGACACAGAGTGTCTCGAAGACAGCCACATGTTTCAATGTCATAGATCCTAAAGATCTACAACACAGAAAAAGGTCTTTCAGCCCATCATGTTCACGCAAGTCTAAAGCCAGCACTGCTGCCTCCAGGGACCAGGGTTCGATTTCACCCTCAGGCGACTGTCTACGTGGAGTTTGCACACTGTCCCTGTGTCAGTGTGGGTTTCCTCCCGCAGTCCAAAAGATGCACAGGCTAGGCGGATTGGCAGTGCTAGATTGCCTGTAGTGTCCAGGGACATGCAGGCTAGGTGGGTTAGCTATGGGAAATGGAGGTTACAAGGATAGAATAGTCGGGTGGGATGCTGTTCAGATGGTTGGGGTAGACCTGATGGGCCGAAGTGCCTGCTTTCACACTGTAGGGATTCTATGAACAATTCTGATTTAATTTCCTGGCACTTGGCATCCCAAGTGCCCACATAAATACTTTTAAAATATTATGAAGGTTGCTGCCTCTATCACCCCTTACGGGCAGTGAGTTCCAGATTCCCACCACCCACGGAGTGAAAATGTTTTCCTTTATACCTTCTCTAAGCCTTCTGCACTCCCCTCTGTCATTGATCCCTCCAACAAGGGGATAAGCTTCTTCCTGCCTACCCTATCTCTGCCACTCATTCACCATCCAATGAGAGGGGATAGCACTTCAAAAACACTAGTCTGGTGGCAAATCAGAAGCCCATCCAGTCTCCATGATGCCCTTATAGTCAACAGGAAAAAAATTGGTAGCCATCAACATTGGGTATCAGTTTTGTGATGAAAGATGTATAATTCCAATAATAGTATCATTTTTGGAAGTTAGATTTCAAAATAAATGCAGGTGGTGTTGGTTACTTCTGCAAAAGGTTTACTTCAAAAAAAAAATCAGAGAATCCTTCCAGAACAGTGATTTAAATAAATATTTTAATCGGAGAGCAGGTCACTGTGAATGCCCGTGATCTTAATAGAAAGATATTTATACTGTTGAGTTTACAAAAAGATGGACTAAATACGTAAGACCATTAGTTTTCTTATCCTAGATTCTTCTGAACTGAAGAGTAAGATTGTTTTTAAATTCAGTTCAGAAGATAATGCTGAGTTTAGAAACAAGTTTATTTCCCTTCCAGGAAGAGGACTGAGGGCAGTTCAAGGAATAAATCTCAGCACAAGTCTGAGCCAGCACTGTTTCTTTAGAAATCTGCAGGTTATTAAAACCGAGAAGTTTGAGGCTCTCAGATATGAGAGAATTTCACACCAGCAGATTTACAAAGGATTCATCAAATTGTCTCAATTTCCACTGCATGGAAACTATCAGGAGTCAGTTAAACCAAACCCTAAAGAGTTGAGATGTGGCTCCAAGTCCTCTGGCCTCATGTCTCTGTAACAGATACTGTTGAGATAAGGATTTTTACTGTGGTTCAAAGTCATTTTAACTGTCTGCAATATTTAGATAACCTGTTTTTTAAAACATTTTGCGCAGTAATTTTTTATTCTGTTAAAGAAAATCTGCAGCCTTTTTTGAAAATCTCTCAGTGACTAATTGCTACATTAACTAACTAAACAACAAAAGCCAGATTTCATTCCAGCATCTGACTAGTCCAGCAATACCATCAGCTAGAATCTCACTTTCTCTCACACACATACACACACACACACATTAATGACTAAAAGCAAGATTCCTGAAACACTAAATGCAAAGGAATACAAAAGGAAAAGTCAAACAAAGATATCAGAGCAATCAAAGCAAAATTTCTGCGAAATCAAAGCAGAAAGGTCAGAATATTGGTGATAGTATGGCAAATAAATCAGCAAGAATAACTAGGGAGATATAGAAATGACTGGGCTGACACATGTGGGACCAAAGACAGCAGCAAACTGAAGAGAAGCAAACATGCTTGGAAAGGGACTGAATTGGTGAGACATTGACCATGTATCTTCACAGCTGTCATCTCCCTGTGGAAATCTCTCAGACAGTATTATCACCAGGAAAGTTCTGCCTCGAAAAATACCAATTTTCTGCCTATTACTTGAACAGCTGATGATTTTAAAAAAAAAGCATACGTATCAATGTCCACATCAGACCTAAAAACTCTGTTCAAGAAACCACTGCTCACAATTTTGAAAACAGGGATTGGTGTCCAATGGGGAGCAGAGTTGCATTAAAGCCAGCAAGGAGGTGGAGGTGTAACTGTGCAGGGTCTGCAGCATTTCTAACTCTTACACAAAGGTCTCTATGACCTGCACAAGAGTAAAATTAAAAACCATGCTAGTATTTATGGGACGCTTCTGGACTTCCCAAAACGCTTTCCAGCCAGTTCATTATTTTGAAGCAAGGTTAATGTTGTATTGTAGGAAGTGTGGAGAGAAGTCCAACAAACCACAGTACATCACAACCACACATTACTTGTGACATTATTTAGTGGGTCCTTGAAGGAATAAATACTGTTTAGGGCATAAAGAAAAACTCCTCAGCTACTCCTCAAAACATGTGCCATGAGATCTTTTACATACACCAGTGTGAATCTGAAAGATAAATCTCAGCATTCCCCTTCAGTATTTCGCTGGAGGGTCAGAGTCAGAGGTAGGTACTTTCCACTAAGACACAACTGATACCTTCAAATAGTAAAGCGATCAGTTTGCAGTTAACCTACTTTAAAACCAGAGGAGTACAATATCTCATAACTTTTAGATCCTTCAATTGTTTTAAAAAAGTCAAAACAAGTCTTGCAACATCTGAACAACGGATGAAAGTTGCATGTAAACCTTTTTCACAGCTGCAGTTAACTCCCATTCCTTCCCTATCTTTCAGCTTTACTTGCGACATTCTCTGTCACCATGTCCTCTCACCCCTCCCCTTAGCCCCGTGGGACTGTCTTTTCATGTCTGGCAGTTAGACACATCACTTCGTTCACACCTGTTAACCCAGTCATTTACTGGGTTTTTTAAAATGACTTGAATTAGGCATTTTGAATTTATAGAACATGAGTACATGCAGTGCTCAAATTGAGCAGTAAATAGTAATTGCCATTATTAGGATATGCAAAACCCATGACTTGTTACCAAAAATCCAGCACGAGCTTTCCAGGTCTTTAAAATCCTCCCAGCAATCACCATCTGGGTGAATTTGGTGCCACATCTGTTACTACAGATGCTCCTTGCTGGTTTGTTATTTAATAATAAACATCATCAAGAGGAAGGTACAACTGCCAGCTTCATAACTAGACAAAGCAACGTGATAATATTCCAAAATTTTCCCCACTGTTGTCAACAGAATTTAGGCTGACAAGCCAGAGAGAAGAGAGACAGAGAACGGAGGGGGTCAATACACTTTGATACTTTCCAGACTTGGCTCCTGGCACAGAATAATGGTAGATTACAGCAATGATCCTCCTGATTTCCCAGTCAGTCTGTCAGTCATATTACAGAACTGGAACATAAAAAGCATTAAACACCTCTAATCAGTCTCTATGTTCCATGCTCCTGCCAAGTGCCAGCCAAGGTTCAGAACATTTACTTTCCACAAATACCTATTTAATACTAAGGTCAAGTAGGAATGATGGGAGAAATCAGGAGATAAAAGGAACAAAATCATAAAATCCCTACAGAGTGGAAGCAGCCCTTTTGGCCCATCCAGTCCACACTGACCCTCCAAAGACCATCCCGCCCAGACCCATCCCCCACCCCATCCCTGTAAGCCTGCATTTCCCATGGCTAATCCACCTATCCTACATATTCCTGGACACTACGGGTAATTTAGCATGGACAACCCAACTAACCTGCACATCTTTGGGCTGTGGGAGGAAACCAGAGCACCCGGAGAAAACCCGTGCAGACATGGGGAGAATGTGCAAACTCCACACAGACAGACAGCTGTCCAGGGGTGGAATTGAACCCGGGACCTTAATGCTGTGAAGCAGTAGTGCAAACTACTGAGTCATCATGCTGCCCCACTGCAAGCATGGTACAGCAAAACCTGAAAACAAATTCCTTAAGCACAAGTACGTCTCACTCAGATATTACCACTTTTATTTTGAACAGACCTGACAAGACAGCAGAATGCCTCTTCAATTCAGAAATGTAGCTACCTGTTGTAGATATTGCTGAACAACTGCACCTTTCAACTCCACATAGTAAACAGAATCGTCCAAATGC